GCAAGAAGCTACTAATAACAAGGGCATCGCTACTAGGAGCAAGGACGTTCTTCAGCCTTCCTCTTCGTTAGGCTTGTGGCATCCTGCCAGACGAGTGCGAGCCAGGGACCGAGACGACTGGCCGCGATGGTCCATGTGTCATGGCCTTCCCGGTCCCCGGATGTTCCGAGGCTGTTTACTGGCGGTTGTACAACAACCTCTACATTGGATCTCAGGTTTCTCTCAGTTTCTCTAGCAGTTGCAGTTGTGATGCCAGTTTTCTCAAGTGAGGCTCTTCATTTGGTGACTGTGTATGTAGTGGTAGTCTTCTTGTGCCCTTGCGCCATTGCAAAGTTTTTGTTCTCATGAATGCTTCTTTACATACCCTTCAAAAAAAATGCAATTGGAACAAAATGGACCGAAGAAATCTGAAGAACATATTGGCTGCACGAACACCTCTGTGATTCAGTGATGGACAGGATGCTCTCATCCCCTCCTACCCGAAGTTGGAGGATGATGCTGAGCACTGCTATCGCCGCACGGAGTTGGAACTCCTGCTCTGATGGCATTTTGGGCGTGGTTGCTAGAGACCATTCCTGCGATGTCGAGTGCCCTGGTGAAAGATCCCGAAACGGTTCCGATGTGATCTCGGACCCTTGAACAACATGGTCTCAAATTTAAACACTGAACAGAGCATAAGAGAGCTTGACATATATGAGCTGAGAATATGGCTTTGGCACCTGCAAGTGCAACTCCAGGGCAACTCAAAGGCCAAACAGCAACACACGGCACAGCTATTTGATAAATCCATCATTGTTAGACGGGATGCAACGCACAAATGAAAGAACGTGTGCTGTTTGGTGCAAGCGGTGGAAGGTTAGCCATGCTGAGCAGGCGCGTGGCAGCTTGTTGTATGCCAGCTCTAAATGAGCAGAGAAATTGTGCAGGGAGCGGCTGAAGTCCAAGCAAAAAGGGTGCAGGGCTGCAAAGAGAAAGTTGGGATGTACAGCAAAGATTCTGGCCCCAGATTGAAGATTTCAAGCCAGAGTTGCTTGCATTGAAGTCGTTAGCGGTGCGATAGCTGCGATAAGGCTGTTTCAATTAATTTTTCGCCGGAGATTAGATTTTGCAGATGGGAGACACTCAACAGACTGGTATTCACACATGTACCGCACCACCAGTCATGGGCATACTCTTTTAATGTAGCAGCCAGAAATCACCTTTCGTGAATCAATTATATATATATATATGCAGATGATATGCTCAGCCCCTTCACAGCTAGTAGATGCAGCATGCGCTTGCTTTGCCACCAGAACGAAGAACTGCAATGAATAAGCACAGGAAACCATAGCCCCCTTTCCTTGTCTGAGTCTTTTCCAGCATGTGCAACGCTTAGCACAGCCTGGATCTCAGAGTCACAGGCTGCTAGCTACCAGCTATATACAATGTTTCAGAGTCACAGGCGTTTTGGCTCGTGTAGGTCATTCAAGCGATTGGAGAATCCAAAAAAAAAAAGTCTCTCTTTCAGGTCCATGTGCGCCTTTCCAGCGAGGCAGAGGCCTGGGCCCATCTCGCTTGTCGCCTGCAGAGACCAGGATCCTGGAGCTTCTTGCGGCGCTGAGACCACATTTAGAAGCGATGGCATTCTTTGTTTTTTCCTTTTTCACGTGGCGGTGTGACGCTGTGATGCTTCGTAGGGCATGTCAAAGGAGGACAGGTCCTCGTGAAGTACTCAGCTTCTGCTGTAATTAGCGTTTGATGCAAAAACTCTGACAACATGCTGGAGCTGCTGGGTCATGATCCACTTGCCCCTGAAACGTTATTTAACATACCGTTTTTTGAACTCTAGAATTGGTTGAAGCCATCTCAGCTCAGGGAGAACAAGTCCACCAAAGATGCCGTGGACGACGTTACCCTTCGAGTGCACCAGACGAGACTTGGATAGCAAAGGAGATCATGCTCAGATACTGTCAGTTCCACTGGCAGGTCAGATTAGAGGTGTGAATCCAACATATAGTAAAATAATGTAAAATATATAATGATTTCATGTTCTTTTGTGCTGACCTTTGTGCTGACCATGCTTTTGCAAATGTTTGTCTGGCGGTTCCTTGGACATTTGTTTCTTGCTGAGGATCCAGAATGCTGGAGCTGATGTTTAGGCCTCAGCATAGCGTTCATGATCGTAGCTTTGCAGAAAGAGGTCTGACAATGCCACTCACATTTGACCAAATGTGGTTTGCCCTTTCTGCTTTTGGTATCCAATGCACATTTCGGGCTCAAACTAAATAGGGGCCAGGTGTCCCTTCTGGCCAGACTCTCAGCAAAGAGTCAGAGAGCTGAAAAAAGGCAAAAGAATTCGGATCATGTTTCATTTCGAAAGGACCTTTTTTCTTCGCACTTGTTGTGCATCAGATGGAGAGGTGCCAAAATGAAGTTCTGCAGCGCGCTGCTGCTGTATCTCGGCTGATGAACACAGGCAGATGGGTATCTACTATACATAAATATGTGACAAATTAAATAGATAGATCGATGGATGGATGGATGGATGTGTGGATAGATAGATAGATAGATAGATAGATAGATAGATAGATAGATAGATATATATATATATATTATACATTCTACATCATATATCACACTCATATGTGTATGTAATACGTGACATAGTGCAATTCAGTTGTGTGTGGAGAGGTTTGCAAGCAAAACGGATGCCCCGAGAGCCTCTTCCCCAAGCGGCAAGGTACAGCTGCTTGGCTTGGACCCAGGCCGGATGGAGCCTCATAGAGCCTCATAGAGCCTCATGGAGAACATGCTCAAGTCCAAAAAGGTTCAGCATACTTAAACAATTTTGCGTATTCAATTATTCAATGAATCTTCAAGCATTAATCAAAGGAAGTGCCTGGTTGGTTCATCGAAGGGCACGCTGGGCACATTTGATAAGCAACAATATTTTGAGCAGGCAGAGGAACCGGAGAGCCGCTTTGCTCTTGCCGTCTCCTTGGGGCTGTGTTTGTCATTGGCTTGTGAAAGATTGATGAGCATCACCACCTAAGCACGTAGCTCCATACACCTCTTTTTAAGCCATGAGACTTTGAGGTTATCAGCACCCTCGAGGAGTGTTTGATCTAGAAAGATGTTCTCATCTGAGGGTTTTTGCCATTCAGTTGTGGTCAACTAGATGCTGCAGCAAGCACTAACAGCTCCACCGGGCGAGGATGTCATTGTTTTCTTCATGTGTCTTCTGCAAAGCTTGTCACTTCAAGGGGTTTCCAGCTTGGAGGACATTGTCAAGAACATTGATAATCAGTCGAAGAGAGAGGAAATTGCCTTCACCGAGTTCAAGGCTTGAAACTGCTTCGCAGAATCTGCTTTCGCAGAATCTGACTTCGCTGTATCGGTTCTCTGCTTTGAGGCCTGGTGTGCTTCTGAGTGCCTTGCTTGAAACAAGAAGTCCCTTTTGCATCCTTTTTCCACCACTGGTCATTAGGCCCTTACTTCATACTGTAACGTCTTTAAAGGTACAGTAAACTGAGAGTAGGACCTCAACGTTGTGGCATGTTGTTACCCAAGAGTTCCAAATGGGAATAGTACCTCTTTGGACAGTCTTTGGCAAGCCGAACGGAGGTTGAGCGGAACGATTCGTTTCGGATGTCTGCATTATTTCCAGTGCTGGCTTCAAGTACTGTAGTCCTAGGTTCCTCCATCATTCTACTTTACTGTAAGGATTGATGGGCTCACTACTGGGTCTGAAAAAGCAAAGCTGAGCTCGGAGAAGGCCAGGTTGGGAGACAGATGAGTTGAAGGAGTGGTTTGCAGGAGCTAGAGCTTGTTTGACAGCACCCCAGGCATCCAAACAGATCAAAGAGGTTCAATTAAAAGAAAAGGATAGAAAAGGAGGATAGGAACGAACATGAAGTTCGGGAAAGTGGAATGTAAGGGAAGGAAGCCCAAATTGTTACGCTGGAGTGCAGAAATTGTTACGTGGTCTAAAGGTCGAAAAAAAAAGATTAAAGTTCATCCACTCCGAACCGGCTGCGATTTTTCTGCTAGGCCTTTGTCAAGCTCCGTGAGCTCACAGCGTCCATTTCTGCTCTGGAGCATAGCATTGGCTCTTTAGACAACGATGTGAAAGAGCTCCAGGAGACGACAGACCATGTTTCAGCCTCTGACGGATGGTGTTTTCATCCTACTGTAATTACTCTCTTCAACCAATCATATTCCCCCATGATGGTGCCAGTAGCCGGTTGAATGCCCACGTAGCCGAGATGCCACAAGGACGCACAAGATCAGATGAGCAGCATCCGTGAGGAAGAAGCGTCAAAGTACACAGAAGAGGCAGACCATTCACTTTGACGCACGGAAACAAAGAGCCCAAGATCAAGCCTGGTCGCCAAAATGAGATATTGGACCTCTTGGCCCTTTGCTGGACTTTGCCGTAGTCGTACTTGGCCATATAAAGGTTGACGAACGTTGCCCAATACAAGGCTTCCATTGAGGAAGCGTGTTTCATCCTTTTCTTGACTGTTCTTTGTTTCCTCTGTATGTGCTGCGACGGAGTGACATAAATATTTGTCGTGAGGAGATGTCGCAAGTCATGAGACTGATGTATCTGGTTGCTTGGGACGGACAGACGACCAAACCTTAGTGGTTAGGTTTTCCCACGCATCCCGTGCGTTGGGGAACAGTGAGTCTTTGAGCATATGTCGTCCCCTTTGTTGTATCACAGTATTCGTGCAAGTCGTCACCTGTCAGGTTGAGCTCAACACCCAGTCCTCTCGAACTGCAGCTTGGCTGTCAGCAATGCCAAGATCCAGACTGATTGGGTAGTTAGTGTCACAAACATTTGTTCAGTAAAAGTCACAAACATTTGTTCAGTAAAAGATTACACGCATACCAAGGTGACGGCTGACCTGATCATGTTGTCTAAAGTATGTACGCATGACAGATGTAAATCAAGAGCAGCTCGAAAGATCCGTCCATGTGATTGTAACCATCTCATTTGTTCGAGGTCGACAAGGCTTTGTCCAAGATCTCTGGCTCCAAGACTGCATTCTTGCAGAGGCAATCGTGGCAAACCATCACAAGATGGCACTCAACTGTTTCCACGTTTCAAGATGGTTTCACAGTGCATCCAATTCTCCAGTTGAATTACCTTGGAGGCAAAGTCTTGAGCCAGATAGCGGATATGTGGTTGGCTTGCTCAAAGGTATCAAGGACCATGTGTGTTATACAAGCTTTGTAGCAATGTCACCCAACAGTATAGAAGTGAGACAGGGCAGTGCAAGATCACAAAGCGCGATTGCCATCTATCTAGTCTTACATTCTCGATCAGGAGCGCCTCAATGAGACGCGGTCGGAGTTAGACCTAACAGAAGAAGCCAAAAGAAAGACCCATGCGAGCCTGTTCAAGGCCAAAAAGGACCGAGAGATGTGAGTTGTTTTGGACTGAGAGTAGGAGAGTCTGAGTTTTGTCCAGCTTTCCAAACGCTACAATAACTATATGTATACATACATATATATATATATATATATACAGATTGCCCCTTGTATGAATCGGACAGATCAATCGTCGGATGTGGATGCTTCGAGCATGTTTTGATGCTTCAAACCAGCAAGGAATCAAACATGTTCAGGACCAAGCATCTGTTTTGCAGAATGAGGCCGGATAGCTGTTGGCAAGCTTTACACGTAGCTAACACACACACACATACGATTCCTTCTGGCTTGTACAGTAAACAGTTCATCACGATTGCAAGTCGAATGCCTTGAAGCAGACTAGGTGCTCACCAAGACCTTACAGCTCCAACAAGCTCGGGTGGAATTGATCGAGGCGTTGTCGGGAACGGCTTCATTTCTATTTTTTATCGGACTTACATTACAGTTGCTGACCACAGATGTGCGTCTCAGGCTCAACGCATCTACGACGAAGAGCAGGCGTTCGTTGTTGCTGAATCGATGCTTCCATTCTTTAATAAAGCTTGGACACCTGAGTCTATTTTGCATTTTGTTGCATATCCATAAGCTCCATGAGATGCTGCGAGGACTCGAGCAAGGATATGTTCCGCATGAAGGGGGAGACTGCACAAAAATGTGATGCAAAGGCGTGGCACCCTTGGATTTGGCAATTCAACATAGGTAGAGTGAGCTCAAACCGTCACTCTCCACCGCCCACCGGTTTTTCGTTCTAATCCCCGAAGAAAGCCAGCATGAACCGGGTCGCCATCAAGCGCCCTTGCAGACTGGCGAGTACAACATCCGCAAAGAAGACCAGAAGAAAGAGAGAGAGGCAATCGTGGAGGCAACTGCCTTGTTGAAGCAAGAGGCTGGGTGCCTTTCTGTAGCATTTATCAAATATGTCGACTCTGAGGAATTGGACGGTTGTGAGTTTTTGACTTGAGATGCGCCTGACTTCCAGTGGCAGGAGGCAGGTAGGCAAAATGCAGCCGGGGCAACATCTTTCTTGCAGGCAGGTGTCGTGAATCAGGACCGAAGGCCGGTAGGAAAGCCGTTGCTGAGATTTGTGAGCCAGGTAGTCTCCAAAAAGCGAGACGTATCCGGCAAGAAGGACCTGGTAAGGAAAGCCGTGCCTTGTTGGATTCACGTTCAGCCTCAAGCTATGTCATTTATGTCCGCTCTCCCTCTCTCACTCTCTATCTCTCACTTTTGCTGGGTACTAATTTACAATTTACACGCATGTTGTATGTAGCTTGTGTAAGTTTGGATTTAAATATGGATCGGGTCTGTCCTATTACCCGTAACAATTATCACTATTTTTGAACAAGGCCTTTACTATCATCCACCGTTACAGATAGTAGGATAGACGCAATATATGGACAAATATTGATAACACACTAAATACTGACAATGTGCATCCAAGGTGTAAAGTACATTCTATGTGTATCCGCACAAAATGTGCATGTTGATTTGTATGTGGGATGGATTGCATACTGGCATACTTACGTACACTAGTGTAACAAGGGATGAACTATCCATGCGGCATACGCCTGCCTTGCATCACTGGCTGCTTGCAACTGTTCTCAGAACCTTTTCTTGAACTGCTGAGGTAGCCCTGATGCAACACCAAACCAAGGAAAAGGCAAAGGGTATGGACAAAGCCGCAGAGGCCGGAAACTTGCAAGAATGAGCCCAGAGACATGTGTTGGTCCTTCACTTGGCTCATCAAATTTTGAGCAATGCAAATGACACCGAAGGCAGTGCTGGGCTTGGTCGAGGCGATCCGCAATCACCAGACAGAGGATACTAAGAGGACAGGTTGGGCAGACTAGCAACTGAGGAGAGAAAGCCATGAGCAATATGACAATCTAACCCTGCAGGAAGCACTTTTGTGAGTTCCAGATTGATGAGAATGAGGCCAGCCTGCACTTTTGTGTCGAGCCTTTGAGATTTAGTACTTTGCAGCAGCTTCGTTGTTCCAGGATGCCAAGAGAAAGCTGGCTGGCGAAGTGGCCCGATTGAAGGTGTGGCATGTTGCATCGGAAAGCATCGGAAAGCTTGTGACCATTCAAGAGTTCAGACCTCAGCATCGCTAGTAGTAACAAGTGCCACGCTAGTAGTAACAGGTGCCTTACTAGTAGTAACAAGAAGCTACTAGGAACAA